TATTGTCAGAAAGTGCTCATTCGTTACTTGCTATGTTCATTGTATTCATAAAATTTGTCAGTAGAACCGCATCTCGATTGTTTCAATTTTTTCGACATTTTTAAAATATCTACCATTTGTCCCTGCATTGAATATTGCTGCCATATTTGGCCTGATGTTCCTGCTATATATCTTGAGATTCTTGCTTACGGCCACATCACGTTGAAACTCCGGCTCCCACACGATCGCCGAAGTTATTTAACGTTGTGCCTAGTAAGCACCTAGATGAGAATAACACGTGAATAACACGTGAATAACACGTGAATAACACGTGCTCTAATAGTGGATGTGTGGCTGGTGTAATGGATAATAGCTCAGATAGACGAGTTTCAATTCCAATCGGTTTTTTTATATTCACTTACGAACAAATAGATTGGGAAAGGTATGAAGCCACCTCTTCTCCCCTCCTCTATGGGTTAATTAGTAAAACGTGTATAACGAAATAATTATTATCTCGAAAAAAATTCTGACAACCCAAAAAGATATTTTCTGGCTTTAAATAATCTGCAAAGGTTGATAAGCCGTAGAAAATGAATCAATCGAGATTCCTGATCAAATTCAAAGAAGGGTATGTAATGTAATCGATCTTGACCTGGCATATCGGCTTCAATCGCTTTCTCACCGCCGTGACGTGACTTCCCTCTGTCTTTTCTACAAATATTTTCATGGCAAGTGTTCTGATGAGCTTTTCTCTTAGTGCCTCGTCTACATGAATTTAAGCCTGCTACTAGATTGACAATTAGGTTTCACCGTTTTTAATGTTGAACTAGCTAGATGTAATCTTCAGTTCTTTTTTAATTCCGCACTTCCCGCCTGTGTAAATCCCTTGCTTCTCTGCTAGCTACAATCTTCAAACATTTAATTGCAACGTCAATTGCCATCTTCCTGATACACCGTTCTTTTATTGTCCTTTCTTTTCAATTCTCCCCACTAAAGTCTTACTATTCTCTTAAACTTCCTGTAACTACTTTCGTCCTAGTGGCATTGTCGCCTTGGTTGGGGTGAAATAATAATAATAATAATAATAATAATAATAATAATAATAATAATAATAAACTGAAGGTTTTATCCTTGCTGCACAGGACCAATGCTTGCTAACTAGGAATCATCAAGCACATATACTAAAATATTGTGTTAGCCCAAAATGCAGATTCTGTGATAAATATCCAGAAACGATTGATCATCTTGTATCAGGTTGCACGATATTGGCACCCACTGAATATAAAACCCGACACGACAGAGTGGGCCAATATCTGCACTGGAAAATCTGCAACTTCTACGGGAAGGAAACTGAAAGAAACTGGTATGAACACCACCGAGACCCGGTTACGGAGATAGGACCTGTACACAATTCTATGGGACTACACAATACACACTGACAGAACAATCAGGGCCAACCGCCCAGATATTGTTATTAAAGACCACAAACAAAAAACGGTGCCTCCTTATTGATATGGCAGTCACTGCTGACTGCAATGTATCTTTGAAGATATTAAAAAAGTTGTCAAAATACAAGGACCTTGAAATAGAAATCTCGAAAATGTGGCATATGGGGACATCAACAATCCCTGTTGTAGTTGGAGCCCTAGGACTGGTTGGAAAAGATTGCAGTAGACTAATTGAAGGGATTCCTGGAGGTCCATGCCTCAAAGAGATACAAAAATTGTTCTGACAAGTACAGCCCACACTTTACGAAGGGCTTTATCTATGTAATTTTTTTTTTTTTTTTTTCAGTGGAAAGTGTCATGACGCCATTTCTAACCTTAGGTCCCTAGGCGGGACCCGGAAAGAAATGTGTAAACGCCAGAAATCAAAGAAAATAATAATAATTATACAAAAAAATTTCTAAAATACAAAAAACAAATGTTCTCACGAGTAGAGCCTACACCTTACGAAGGTTTTTATCTATGTAAAATATGTTTGATTTTTTTTTTTAATTTCTCAGTGGAAAATGTCATGATGCCATTTCTGGCCTTAGGTCTCTGGACGGGACATCGAAAGAAATGAGTACCCACCAGAAATTAAAGGAAATAAAATAATAATAATAATAACAGACAACTCCTTTCTGATATATGTAAAATACTTTAAATCCAAATAAATAAATTGTTTAATGACTAAAGTTTATAGAATCCATTTGCATACAACATAAATGAATAAAAAAAAATCATCTCTGGTCAAGGACACTGCATTTTTGAATGCTTGTAAAAGAAATATTATACGTGATTAACGGTTGGTGTCACATGACATTGGAAAGTTTAGGACGACAAAACATGCATTTCGCTATTCTATCCACGGAAAAAGCAAATTTTCGAATGGATATTCGTGCACGAGAAAAAATTAGATTAAAGAAATAATGAAATTTAATTGCAGAAAAATAATAAATAAAAAATTTATCTCTTTATTATTTCATAATATTTTATGCCTGAAAATTATTGAAGATATTTGCAACCAACCCAAGCGACCACCCATAAATAAATAAAAAATATATATATATAAGTAAAAAAAAAAATTATCGTCTGTCTCGCTGCACAAACGAGTTCACATAAAATAAATATTACACGCTGTCGTCACGTGACTTTTTTTATGTTCCGGCGCATTGGATTTAACCTTCAGATAGACAAATAACTATACGTTTTAAAAACAATGTGCTTCTTTGAATGCACTTAATTTTCTTTTCTTTCCCACTCACACCCCTGATGAGGAATCATGTGAGTCGAAAGCTCAGGATACGCAATATGATTTTTTTTTGTTTTTGCATAAACAGCAGCCATTTCTGTAAAATGTCATCTGAACACCTGAAAATGGGTCAACAGATTCAATAGACATAAAGTATCTATCTATCTATCTATCTATCTATCTATCTATCTATCTATATATATATAATAAATGCGAATCTTAGTGTGTCACTGTGTCACACCTTGTCAACATCAGCGATTGTTTTCGGCGATTTTTTACATGATTTTTTGGTAACAATTTTTATAACTTGGAGATAAATTTGGGAATAATCGAAATTAAATGCGAAATCCAGCGAAAGTCATCCATGGAAAAAAAACAAAAACAAACAAACAATTGTTTGTACGGAAGGTAAGGACCAACGTACATCAAATTGCCTTTAAATTAAGCAGCGACAGAAGAATTATCGTTGAAATTTTAAAAGGGGAGCTTAAATATTAATACAAAACGTAAATACGGCGAGCTTTTTGCCTATCGTATGAAGACCCAATCAAGAGTCCTCTGCAGGAATTAGTTTAAATGCCGGCCGATAGCATATATATATATACATATATATATATATATATATGCTATCGGCCAGATATATATATATATATATATATATATATATATATATATATATATATATATATATATATATATATATATATATATATATATATATATATATATATATATATATATATATATATATATATATATATATATCGGTATATATATATATATATATATATATATATATATATATATGATATAACGATATATATTTTTATATATCAAAAACAGTATTGGTGTAATTGTATGACAATGGAAAAAATTACTTGTGACTCGTTTTGCATAAACAGCAGCCATTTCTGTAAAATGTCATCTGAACACCTGAAAATATGTCAGCAGATTCAATAGACATAAAGTATCTATATATATATCTATATAATAAATACGAATCTCAGTGTGTCACTGTGTCACACCTTTTCAACATCAGCAAAATTACTTGTGACTCGTTTCGTCCTTCAGGACTTCATCGGACTAAATTTGTTGTGTTGGTAGGAGTACACAGGTGAAGGACAGACGAGTGACGAGATTTTAAGATTTTGTCTTTTTAATGAGCCGAATTCATTTAGAGTCCTTTCCTTTTACTTTCCATCACTTTTGTAAGTAGGTATTTCACATTGTGGTATTAGAAGATCTAAATTTTTTTAAATATTTTTTTCCTCCCCATTTTTGTTGAATAAATATTTAAAACTTAGGTTTGTGTTTGTGGTTCTTTGGTCACGTGGTATGATTTTGGCTATCACCTATAAATATGCGTTTCTCTTTGCCTCGTTAGCCTTACTTTCCCTGGCGATCCGTTTAGGTGAAACCTGGGTAGGTTTGTCTGGCTCACTAGATCTATCTATCTATCTATCTATCTATCTATCTATCTATCTATCTGTGTGTGTGTGTGTGTGTGTGTGTGTGTGTGTGTGTGTGTATTAAAGAAAAACAGACCAATTTAAGGTTCCATTATAATAATTTATTTCACCAGAGCCCTTTTAAAGGACGCCGGATCATCAGATAGCACTTCCAAAAGATGAGACGAAAAATGAAAAGAAAATTGAGGGATAGTGCAAGTTTTTGTAATTTAACAGAGAGTGTAATAAGGGATGGTTAGAGAGACATGGTAGAGTTTAGAGAGGGTTTAATTTAATATTTCTCTCAATCATACTTAGTATATACACGGAAAGAATATATATATATATATATATAAATGTGTGTGTGTGTGTGTGTGGTTTAGTTTGGTCTATTTTGCATATAAAACACAATGATTAGGATAAATTCGTATGAATAGAATATGTATTAATTTTTTTCTTTTCAAAAATGTATTGCTGGTAATATTTTTTTCAAAAAATATATTTCTGGTATTTTTACTATAAAAATTTATATTTTTATACATTCATAGAGTTTTGACCCCAGTTTGGGGCTAAATTATTTACCCACCCGGGGTCATGGTGGACCTTGGAACAACAGCACTTACGAGATAATTTCACGCTCCTTAAAACCTCCTGGTCAGAGGCCTTGTTGTCGGATATAGTTTATCGTCATGCACAGGGCGCTATATATATATATATATATATATATATATATATATATATATATATAGATAGATAGATAGATAGATAAAAAAAAATAAAAAATCTTGTTGGCATTAAATAAATTATTCAGGTTGATATGCCGTAAAACAAACCAAACTAAACCAATAGATAGATAGATAGATAGATAGATAGATAGATAGAAAATATAACCAGCAATAAAAATCTTGTTGGCTTTAAATAACCGTTTGTGGTTGATATGCCGTAAAACAAAACAAACCATACCAATATATATCGAGAGATATAGATAGATAGATAGATAGATATGACGATACTCAGATAGATAGATAGATAGATAGATAGATAGATAGATAGATAGATAGATAAAAAACAATAAAAATCTTGTTGGCATTAAATAAACTGTTCAGGTTGATATGCCGTAAAACAAACCAAACTAAACCAATAGATAGATAGATAGATAGATAGAAAATATAACCAACAATAAAAATCTTGTTGGCTTTAAATAACCGTTTGTGGTTGATATGCCGTAAAACAAAACAAACCATAGATAGATAGATAGATAGATAGATAAAAATAAATGGAATTAGAAATAATCAGGGGTGGATTAAGAAATTTGGTAATTGCTTACAATTGAGAAAACGGGCAATCAATTGCTGGAATCTCCTGACGAGTCGACTGAGCAGTTAAAATGATTCTTCTACGAAAATCATAGATAAATAGATGGATAATTTTCCAAAGAATTGATGGATTTTATTTTTAATCCGACATTTTTATTACTACAAACATTGTTACATAGGACGTTTTATTTGAAATAGACTCGCCATTTTTATTTATTAATAATTAACAAAATTTCCAGCCATTCCCCTAATGTATTCAAACAAACATCCATATCTATAAATATAAGAATTTCAACAAATTCTAGTGACCTGAAAATATTCCATGAAAACTAAAAACTTATGAATCAGCCCTAAAGAAACAGCGGACATTCAAACAAACTAGAATACAAAAACGAAAACAATTTAAACAAAAACAGTAGAAAAAGAAACATAATTTGGTTCAATCCCCTTACAAATACTTCCCTAGAAACAGAAGATTATTTACAAAATTATGAATAAGAATACAATCAAATTCTGAATAAGAATACAATCAAAATTAGTTACAGCTGCATGGATAACATAGAGAAAATAATATCTAAGTACAATAAAAAAATACCTAACGAAACCAATAAAACAACAAAATAAAAATAACATCCAGTAATATAACATGAACAAATGTAAGTGCAAAAACAAAGAAAATTGCCACTTAGCAATAACTGTTTAACCAATAACATAATATACAAAGCTATCGTAACTAATAAAATTAACATAGACGAAAAAAATTAGATAGATGCCTACTTAAAAAAAAAAAAAAAAATTAAAAGAAAGATATAACCACAAAATATCCTTCGAAAGAAAAAAATCAGATGGGAAATTATAAAAAGAGACCCATATAGTATTAAAAGGAAAAATTGTAAATTATGCTTAGAGGAAAAATTAGCAATAATTAATTTTAAAAACAAAAAAACACACTTAAACAAGAAAATTGGAATAATAGAAAAATGTAGGCATATAATTAAATAATTACTTTGCTACTTATTACTTATAAACACTAATTAAAAATAAACAAAAAAATAAAATATATATAATATAGACTTAAAATAATTAATTACTAATAGATAAATAAATAGACGAGCAAATATTAAGCATGCACACCTATACGCGTGTGTGTGAATGTACATATATATATATACATATATACACGTAAACAACTACAAACGAAAAATCCTACCCGCCAATAAGTAATACCTCAATATAGAATTAAAACTACTAAGCAAAAAATAAGCAAAAAATTAAAACTACTAACCATTAAATCTAAGTTACAGAGTAATATATGCTGATAAATTAAGAAAACACCTTAAAAAACCATATCGGTTACAATTTATTTCGTGAATATTGCTATATTCTTCTCTTCAGATGGGATATATATATATACTAGCAGTAGAGCCCAGCGTTGCCCGGGGATGTAACAGTAAGAGATAGATCAAGTATCGACCATCATAAAGACTGAAAAATAAAATTGACAAAGATTATTGTTTAAGGTTGACGGACACGCATGTCTTAATTAGTTTTTTTTTTTTTATTTTTTTTTTTTTTACGAATTGGTCAAACCCAAACTCAAACAAAAACATTGTTTTCAATCATTATGAGTCTACCGATTGAATAGAATTTTATTATAAACAATTGTCTTGTAAATGGAATTTTTAAAGCATTCTGAATGTAAAAATAAAGAAAAAAAGTGTGCAAGACAATAAGAAACACTACATGCCAAAAAAAAAAAGTGAAGTTTTGTTGAAATCGGTTGAAAAATATAGGAAATCCAATCCCATATATAAACGAGCACAGACACACACAAACGACCTGGGTTTTATAATAAAAAGTATAACTCAATATGAATTGTCCCCCTTTCATTCATTTCATCGATGCCTCTTAATCATGTTTTCAAATTGATTTTGTGCAAAAACAATTGTTTTTTCAATTTTTGGCGCTGTCAGAACCACCGCAAGGTAATTTTACGTAGTCCTGTGAAGTTTTGTTGAAATTGGTTGAAAAAAGTAGGAAATCTGATCCAATATATAAACGTACAGACACACACACACACACACACACACACCTGGGTTTTATAATTTTATATATATATATATATATATATATATATATATATATATATATATATATATATATTCAGTTGTATGGATATTAGTTTGTAACTGGGTTTCACGCTTTTGCTATCATCGGACAAACTGGTTTATTTTTTAAAAAGTTGATCTATTTATAATTATTTGTGTTCGATTATTTGTGTGCAGTGGAGGGGGAATTTTGTTTTGTATTTGTTTGGAATGACAATTTCACATACATAGAAACACATACATACAGGTGTATGCATTTTAGTTCACACAAAAATGTAAACAAAAAGCTTAATCGCAGTACCTTGTCTGCCGTCTTAAAAAGAAAAGAAAACAAGAACTTGTAGATACAAGTTCTTGTTTTTTTTTAAATGACCCATGTCTTTTGTGCATACATGAAAAGTTATATATTATTAAGTTTCTGGAAAATAAAAATTTATTAAATCAAAGAAATGAAATAACGAATTTTTGTAGACATTGCCAAATTTTTCCTTAATGACTAAATTTAAAAAAAAAAATGAAACTAACATATTTATAATTGATCATAAATAAAATTAAATTGTTTATAAATGCATAATTAGATTCTAATTATGTATTTATAAACAATTTCATATATATTAATTTTAACATGACCATATATGTACTCAATTAGTAAATAAATTAAATATATCTTAAGTCGGAACAAATAACAATATAAATACTAAAAATGTGACTGAATAATATTTGAATGCCCCTTTCGAAAAAATCTTAATTGAAATTTATAAAATTAAATATTAAATAAAAAATAAAAACATAGACACATGGAATATAGACACTAGCATAAGTTTCTACTTGAAAATAAGGAAGATTGTATCAATAGGCAATTAACCCCAACATCTCAAAATATCAAATTTGTCTGGACTTATAAATTAAGTAAATCAATTTCTAAAAAAGTTATTCTTAGCATCGCTTGATAATGGAACGGAACTTTGTATTTTTAGCTTAATTTGTATGATTGAATTTAAATTGAGGTTTCAGTTTTGTAACATGGGACTTTCTGTATAAGTCTATATTTCTGAGATGAGGTATTATGTACACTATTTACATTATTCGGACTATTGCCCTCATCTTTGTCGCCATATCTATCACAACGTTTCGGTCGTTGTACGCTCCGGCCTTCTTCAGGTGGTTGGAATGTTGAACTTAACTCTTTATTTCGCTCACTGGGGTGGACTGTTCTCGTTCCACGTGGCATCTTTAATGGGAATTTCTGTGTTGGCGATGATTATATATATATATATATATATAAGCAATTATAATATTATACTCTAGGGTTGTATCGAGCACACTGAATTATAAATCTCATTGTTCTTCGCTATTATTTTAATATATATATATATATATATATATATATATGTTTCATTAAATAATATAGACAATTGTTGTCTATTTATTTTATGTAAATTCTTTTCATAACGGCTGATAAGCATAATAACATTATCATTAAACGAAGAAAGAAATTGTAAATTGTATTGTAATTGTCATCTTTGATCCTGGCTTATGTAAGCCGAAAGCTTAGATTGGATTAAAAATATGTATCAATATTGTGATTTTCTTTCTTCGTTTAATGATAATGTTATTAAGCTTATCAGACGTTATGAAAAGAATTTACATAAAATAAATAGACAACACTTGTCTATATTATTTAATGAAACATGTATGAATGAAAAAATGCTGCCTAATTACACGCAACATATATGTATGTATGTGTGTGTGTGTGTGTGTGTGTGTGTGTGTGTGTTTTTTGTGTGTGTATGAATGCTTCGGAATGTAAACTCGTCCGATATTCATACTAGCAAGCCATCACCCTGTTTTGAAGGAAGATAATTAGTAATTGTTCAGTCGCCAGTCTTTACACGGAAATAGTTTTTTTTATGACCCTGGCCAGATCCGCTTAAAAAAAAAAAAAAAAAAAAAAAAACTTTGTTGAAATCAAGTTCACAAGTATAAGGACGTGTGTGTTTTCTCATTTCCTGAAACAAAGAAAGATTAAGCCAAAAGAAGCCGTTTCTCAGCAACAGAGTGAATAATAAAGGTATTGTAAACGACACACACTCGATGTGTTGTTGGTTGGATCTCAATCCGTGACACATTATTTTAAGAGCGAAAACGTTGCCCTTGGAACCAATATCAGCAAGCAAGCCAGTTAGAGGTGTAGATGGGATTAACTATATATCAAGACCGAAAGATGCGAGGTTGAATAAGCAACACCTTTTGCCTATAAGCAGTCCTTCTTTACCTACCTAAATGGGCGTGTAGGTGTTGGCGGATCGACGACAGAGTACCCAGGAGAGCAGGATGTGTCAGCATCGTACTTGGCTGACACTGTTGTTTGACACTTACATGACACAAACACACACAGACACAATTCTCTCGTCCAAAAAAAAAAAAAAAAAAACCTGAAGCAAGTTTAAAGTTTTGTTTCAAGTGCTGAGTCTGTAATGAATGTCACTTGTAATTTCTGCTATGCGCTATCTCCGAGCAGGAGGAGGGTGATTATGGCTCTCCATGCCTTCCATACTTTTGACTCATTTAAATCCCTCGTTGTCGTTGTTTCAGTTTTTTTTAAACTTTCCCCGTTGCTCACATATGTTAGCCTTGGTATTCTCAACGGAACAGGTTTAATTTGGATTGTTTTACGGCATATCAACCTCAATGGGTTATTTCATGTCGACAAGATATTTATTGCTGGTAATATTTTTTTTACCAAAATTTATTACTGGTAATACTTTTTTTTACCAAAATTTATTCCTGGTAATATTTTTTTCTCAAATTTATTGCTGGTAATATTTTTTTCCCCAAATTTATTCCTGGTAATATTTTTTTCCCCAAATTTATTGCTGGTAATATTTTTTCCCCCAA